TTTTCTTTAAACAAAATAAAAGAGAAAATAAAAAAAAAGGGTTTAATTTCTTGACGACGTCCCCGGCCCGATGATGACATGGGATGCATGGACAATCAATGGTTTGGTGTCAGCTCAAATTTAGAACATGAATTAAAGAATTAAATTTAATTATGATTCTCCTAAATTATTAATTAGATGCAACAAATATAAATAAATAAAATAATATAAATTGAGATGCATGCATTGAATGCCACACTTGTTCAAAATCATATTCTTTTTGGTGCAATTAATCATCATGTGTTTATTAATTAGTACAACTTCTAATTATATAATCAAATATTTAATTTGTCAATTTATACAACAAAACAAAAAACATTTGGACCTCATATTACACACACACACACATATATGGGGAATTTACTTAAATAATATTAAAATATAATTATTTTTCCTAGATAGCATTTTATGTGTTTTTTTTCCAATATAGCACTTTTAGTCATTATCCATTAGTCATTATTCAAGTAAATGTTTATCATCACTGAACATTATGGACATTATTAAATGCTATTTAGGGAATAAAACAATTTAAGTGGAAAATGACTTAAATTTAGTGCTATTTAATGCAAATATTTTTATATATATACACACACACCCACACTATTGACAACCACAAAAATGTATAGATAAAAAGGCTTTTTTGTACGAAGTTTCGTAAACAAATGAAAATGCTAATCGTATCTTTATTTTTGTATCTGTATATTATCTCTCTATCTTGTCAAGAAAATATATTTTTAATAATTAGTATTGATATTCATCAATATTTTAGCAGGTTCAATTGAAGCTTAAAGTATCGAGTATCGACAATAATAATAATAATAATGCTGTATGAAATCTTTGTCAAATAATTACTTCATTTTATTTAATTTATATTATTTATTTTATTTAGAAAATAATTAATAATAATATTTCCTTCAAAACAATATTCTTTCCGACATAGAGGATCCTTCCAGTTTTGTTTTTTCAAGTTAAAATATACAAAGTTTCATCATCAATTACATTCGATTTGTATGGTATACTAATAATTAAAATAAAATAAAATTTTGAATGTTCTTAGTATGACAAATTAAATAAAATCATTTGTATCCTATATATATATGTAAAAGAGAGTTCAATTGTTGTAGTGTTGACATGTGGCATGCCACATGTGCATCTACATGTGCACTCACTAATGATGTGGATTTATGCATTTCAATTCATTGGTCCATTTTGATTTTTCTAAAAGATCTTTGAATGCATTTGCATAAAACTTTTTCATTTTTTAATAATTCTATAAATATATATTTCATCATTGTAAAATATACTCCATATTATATATATAAATATATATACTTATTTTTATACTATCCACAACTTATTTTAGTTTATTACTTTTTAAAAAATGATTATATAAATTTAATAACATTTGCATATTTATCAATTAAATAATTTGTTTCAAAAATTTTATCTTATTACATTATTTATTCTATTGCTACAAATATTTTTTAACAAGCTAAATAAAATAAAATTACTTTCTTTTGAAGGGTAATGACTGACAAGTGACATTATGACACATATACATTCTCTAATAATGTATCATTATGTAATTAATCCACTTTTTATTAAAATATTTTATTAATTTGAACTTTTTTATTAGTACTAAATTCAATGACCATTAATTTTGTAGAATTTGTTTGTTTTTAAATAATATACCAATATATATTCAACCAGTTTAAAATATATTTTGTCACTATTAAAAAACTAAAACAACTAAAATTATATTTATACAATGTCAAAAATTTAGAATATATACGAGCCCGTGCGAAGCACGGGGTTAACACTAGTATCGATATATAATACTCTTTCGGTTCCTTTAAACCCTTTCACTTTTAACTTTGGGCAAAAATAAAGAAAGAGTAATTTTAGTTGACTTTTCAATTTTGTCGCTGATGTAATGGGTAAAAGTAAAATTTGATAGTTTAGTTATTAGTGAAAAAGTATGATGTGATATGTAGGGTATGAAAAAGTAAGTGTAAAAATAGTTTTTTAATAGAAAGTGGAAGTGTTTTAGGTAGTGTTTGGCAACTAGCATTTCATTTCAGTTCATGTATTTCAATTCCAAAATTTGAAATCCTGAATTTCAATTGACAAGGGAGGTGCATGGATTTCAAATTAAGCTTGGTTTTGAATGTAAAGAATTTGATTCAAATCCAAATTCAAAATGCTTAAGTTTCCCAAACATGGAATTTAAGCCAAATCCGGATTTGAAATCCAAATCCATGTTCCCAAACATACCATTAGGGAATTCAAAAAAACGAAAGGGGAATATTTTATGAAACGGCGGAAGTATGATTTTAATTTCATAAAAATCAGAGTTTTTGCAGTTTAACAAAAAAATCAAATACAGTAGGATACCACTATACAATGTCATAATTAGACCTAGCAAAACAGAACCGGAACCGATTACCCAAATCGAAATATCCGAAACCAAAACCGGAATGACCCGAAAAATGAAGATCTGATCTATAACCGAAAACCCGAAATGATCCGAATCGAACCGAAACCGAACTAAATAATTCATATCCGATTTAAATCCGAAACCGATTAGATCCGAAACCGATAATATCCGAACCGATTAAACCCAAAACCGATTAGATCCGAACCAGATAATACCCGAAACCGATAAAATCCAAAACCGATTAGATCTGAAACCGATAATATCCGAACCCGATTAGAACTAAAATCGATAAATTTAGAACTATGTTTGCCTTTCAATAAGCATATTATATTTTTAAATTTTTGCTTTTATTTTACCATTTGAACTAATTACATTACATGCTCATTCTCTCATAAAATAGATTATCTTCTTGAAAAAAAGTACAAAATTTTATGCCTTAAATTAATTATATGTAGAAATTAAAGATAAGTTATACATATAAATGATAACACACAAACAAATAAAATTTTCGTAATTTTTGAATAGTGAAGTGTGATATTCTTTTTGGAACGAAAGGAATATATGATGAATTGTATGGGATAACTAGATTTTATCATAATTTCATCTCATTACAATAAATTTTATTGATTTGAGAGTTAATTTGATTAGTTTCAAACCAATTCACTCAATATTAGTCAATAAAATTAGATGCTAGTGTTAGCATTTTAAAAAGACTCTCTAGCGGCAGCCTTAACTGTTATCATTTTCAAATTTGATCTACATCATTACATTTAGGTGTAAAATTAATTATATTTGACTCTATTAAATTTAATTTTCTCTATTTTCAACCAAATATACTCAATAATTTACAAATTTTGCACTCAATTGAATAAAATTCACTTAATTTCACCCAATTTTACTCAATTTTTACCAAATTGTATTCAAATGGAACATATTCAACATAAGACTATTTGAATTTATCTTTTATCCTTTCATTTATATACATAAGTATATTAGTAGATGTGAGAAAAATTTGATATTTCAAAACTAAATTTTAAAATCAATTTAATTATATTAAATTTATATCATAATTAAATATATATGTTTTCATAATTTGTAGTCCAAATTTGTAAAATATGACTTAAAAGTCAAAAAGGGAAGATTATTTAGGGTAGAGATAATATAACTAGAAAAAAATATAAAATAATACGAGGTATTGAATTGATGATAGATTGATAATTGTGATAAAACATAAAAAGAAACACGGATAGTTAAATTTAATTTGAAAATAATATATATCCAAAATATATTTGATCCGAAACCAAAATATATCCGAACCGAACTAGACCCAAAACCGAAATATATCCGACTCAAATTGTATCCGAACGAAACCTATCCGAATCGATTTATAACCGAACCGTATCTGAACCGATTCGAAACCGAACCGAACCGAAAAATGTATAGAACCGAAATCAAATCCGAACCGAAATTTAACCGATTCGAACCGAACCTAACCGATTATAACATATAACCGAAAGATATCCGAACCAAAAAAATCCAACCCGAAACCGATCCGGTTAATCCGATTGCCACCTCTAGTCATAATGTCACGTACAATACAAGGTTATATTTTAGGGGTAGAACATGAAACTCATATTTTGAGGATGAATATTATGTTTTACTCTTATTTTGAATTGAAGTGATTTCTGTAATAAATATGAGTTAGCATGTCAAAACAATAGTGTCATGTCATTTATAGTAAAATTAGACATTATCGCTAAGAATTTAAACCAATAAATAATAAAAAAATGAAGAGGACTTGAATGAACAAAAAAAATACTTTCTCCGTTTTCAAAACCACTTTTTCTTTCTTTTTTTCTACTTCCAACAAAACATTTCCTCTTTCTATTAAAAAATCACTTTTACCTTTACTTTTTCATATCCTACCTATCACATCATACTTTTTCTCTAATAATTTATCCATCACATCTTACTTTTACTCATCACATCAGGGGCAAAATTGGAAATCAACTATAATTTAGCACTTTCTTATTTTTGCTCCAAATTAAAATGAGAAGTCTTTTTACAAACGGGGGTGTAGTACAAAGACTAAATAATTTCAATTTTAATATAGGGACTAATTTAAACATTTTTTAATAATATAGAAATGTTTACGAAAAGGGGCGTTTACAACACCAAGAAAACACAACGGACAGAAAAAAAAGAGCCAAGAAATGCGCATGCAGCCCGTGGTCGGTAAAGACACGTGCTTTAGTACTTGTCTGGCTCGCAAGCAGAAAGGAGAAACGCGGGTGGGCCGGGTTGCGAGCACTGGGCAATAACCGGAGGCACCGGTTCCCGGTAATGATTCATTGAACGCTTGCGTGAAGGGCCAGGAATTGGGATTGGTTCCAGTATCTGTTTTCCTATCTACGCCTCTAGACGTCTCACCAAATACATTTAACTCTATGCATATAATTATTCTTTTTATTTAAATAAAATGCAATAAGATTTTGTATATATATACATAAATTTATATTTATAGGATGATCACAGAAATCTGCAAGTCCCAGCAAATATTCTTAACACGCTTCTTCTCTCTTTCTCTTTCTTGATCTTTCTGGGTTTGGAATTCAATTCTTGGCTGCAATTGAAATCTGGGGTTTTCTGTTCTTGGTTGAAAATCTAATCTTTTCTGCTCAGATTTGTTGGTTTTTTCTTTAAATCGAAGAAGAAGCAGCCATGCCTACTCTTGTTGGTTATAGTGGTAAGTTTTTGAAGTTTTCCTTGGATTGAACTTTGATGAATGTTTTGACAATTATGGCTAAGCAGAATCATAGATTCTGTTATTCACTGCTATTTCTTGGGATTGAAATGTGTCTGCCTTTGGTAACTATATAAATATAAAGAGTTGACTCTAAAGGTTGTGTTTGGTTTTGATGGGGAGACTTATTTTTGGAAGTTAGTTTAGGGGATTGATTCTTGGATTAGATAAGCTTAGGAGGAAAAATTATTGGTGTTATTGTGTTTGATTCTTAGCTGAATATATCCAAGTTGTGTGCGCAAATTTGTTAAGCTAATGTTGTCTTCATGCAAGAATAGTTAATTCTTTCCTAATTAGGATATTTCTTGATTTAGGATATGTAGAATTCTTTTGTTTGTTACAATTAGGATGTAATGCCCGTTTGGTAACAACCTTACCATTTTGAAAAGGATGTTTAATGCGTTTTGCTTTAGCGTTTTCAAAGTTAATCTGCACCATTAAAAACAATCCAAAATGATGGTGTTGATTGAAAATATTCTTCCCAAACGAGAAAATTCTGTGAAAATTATATACTTAAAGAGATTCTCTCTGATATTTCAGGTAACGAAAATCATATATCACTTGGTTGTGTGGATGTGTACTACCCTCCTAGAAAGCGGGCAAGAATTGCCTTCCCGAATCCTGTTGATGAAGAGAAGGAGAAGAACAAGCCTTCCATTGAGATTCTTCCAGATGAATGTTTGTTTGAGATATTTAGAAGACTGCCCGGAGCATGTGAAAGGAGTGTCTCTTCTTGTGTTTCCAAACGCTGGCTTGCGCTCTTAAGTGGTGCTTGGTGTAACGAAGATGTAGAAGGACAGTGCGAAGGGTACCTTACAAGGTCTCTTGAAGGGAACAAAGCCACTGATATTGGACTTGCGGCCATTGTGGTAGGGACCTCAAGCCGTGGGGGGCTTGGGAAGCTTTATATCCGGGGGACCTGTGCAGTTACTGATGTGGGTTTATCGACGGTCGCTCTTGGCTGCCCTTCCCTAAGGGTACTGTCCCTTTGGAATGTCCCTTCAATTGGGGACGAAGGCCTTTCCACGATTGCAAAGGGATGTCAGTCATTGGAGAAGCTAGATTTAAGCCATTGTCCTTCAATTTCCAATAAAGGGCTTATCGCCATTGCAGAAAATTGCCCTAATCTGTCCTCATTGACTATAGAATCATGCCCTTATATCGGGAACAATGGGCTTCGGGCTATCGGAAATCGGTGCACTAAGTTACGGTCCGTCACCGTGAAGGACTGCCCGGGAATTTCGGATGAGGGTGTTTCTGGTCTTCTATCATCTGCTTCCACTGTCTCGAAAGTGACACTACACGGTTTAAGCATAACGGATTTCTCGCTTGCCGTTATCGGACATTATGGGAAGGGAATTACCCGTCTCGACCTCGGGGCGCTTCATAACGTGACCCAAAAGGGGTTTTGGGTAATGGGTAATGCCCGCGGTTTGCACAGTTTGGCTTCTTTGACCGTCTCTTCCTGCCGTGGGATAACGGATGTGAGTCTTGAGGCATTGGGAAAAGGCTGTTTGGATCTAAAGCATATCTGTCTTCGCAAGTGCTTCCTCGTGTCGGATTTCGGGTTGGTGGCATTCACAAGAGCGAATGAATCTCTTGAAAGTTTGAAGCTGGAGGAGTGTAACCGGATCACCCGAACCGGTCTTCTCAACGCGGTTTCCAATTGCAGAAAACTGAAGTCCTTTTCAGTGTCCAAGTGCTACGGTGTCAACGATATCGATCCCGCAACACCCTTTCTGTCTCCATGTGGGTCCCTTAGGTCTCTTGATCTAGGGGGACTTAACGGTTTAACGGATTCAGGTCTTGTCCCTCTTCTGAAGAGCTGTGAGTCGGGACTGGTGAAGGTGAATCTCAGTAACTGCCCGAACCTGACCGACGAAGCCGTTATGGAACTTGCCCGGTTGCATGGGCAGACACTCGAGGTTTTGAATCTCGAAGGCTGCCCGAAGATCACGGACGTGAGTTTGGAGGCGATTGCCAAAAACTGTGTTTCGCTCAACGATCTTGACGTTTCAAAGTGTTCGGTGACGGATTCTGGCGTAGCTGCTTTGTCGCGGGGCGGCGTGCAGAGGAATCTGCAGATTCTTTCCTTGTCGGGCTGCGTCATGGTCACTGAGAAGAGCATTCCGTTTCTTGAAACGCTAGGGAAGGGTCTGATCGGTTTAAATCTCCAGCATTGTAACTCTATGGGTAGCCGCGCGGTTCAACTCCTAGTGGAGAACTTGTGGCGGTGCGATATTCTTTTGTGAAAACTTGTTGGATGAAGATGGTGTTCGGTTAAAAACTGGGCCCCAATCCACCATCTTTGAGGGTTGGGGTGGGGGGTCTGGATTAAGGGGCATCAGAATGAATCGAACTACGATGGTTAGGGATGGTACGCTTGGGGGATTTTGACGGTCTTATTCCCTTTGATTTTGGGGCGAAGATGATTTAGTGGATTGGTGGTTTTCAGGGAGGATGTGGCTGTTTTCCGGCGAGTTTTTTTGCAGGCTTTCTGTAAAGGTCTGTTGCAGTCCTTCCCAAAAACATAGGCCATATCCCAAACCTACATTTTCACTCATGACACCATTAGAGAGAATCGTGCACCCATGGTGGGACTGTATAATGACCCCTTCACTCTTGGCTGAGAGACGCTTCAATGTTCTCTATCCACACATGATAATGATGATGACGACGGATCAGCCTGCGGGCCCCACAGATAGAATCGGAGCGTGGTGGGGGAGGTCCCATCTGGTGGCTTGCCGGTGGCCACACACAAGTATCTGAGGTTGTGTTTTTTTTTTTAAATTTGGTTTAGAGGTTTGGTGGTTAAGAGATGTATTAGGACTTGTTTTGGTTTTTGTACCTTTGCTTGTTAACTACAGTGTATATAATATGTGTAACCAGTTTTGGTGCATACAATGAAAGAAGTTCAGCTAGTGAAATACTGTTTTTGTCTCTTGGAAACATCGTCTCTACTTTCGAGTAAGAGTAATGTGTGCATACACACACACCCTCCCCAGACCCTACCTTCGTGGGAAAAATATTCTTCCATTTTATGCCTCCATAATTTAAACAAATAAGAAGTTTTTTGGGTATAAATTAGCATTGCTATATCTTGACTTGGATAAGTCCATTGCAATTGGAGCTAACATGTCGTCGTTGACAATGTTTTAGACTTTTAGTTCCAGGTAAATAATGGACTAAATCAAAATGACACAGTAAACTTCCTCTGCTTACTTTCAATGAAGTTTCAAGTAGTAAATACAAGAGTGCATCAAAGATTCAACAAGAACAGTCTCTTTGTACTCAACATAGGTAAGATTGTGTACACATTGGTATTTTACACTCCATGAAAGTAAAAATTATGCTGGCTTGTTGTATATATTTGAAGCCATAATCACTTTACCATTGATAGACTTACAGAACTCCCAACTTCTTCAATATCTTGGTTTGTGAGGCAGGAATTGATTTAAGAAACCCTGCATTGATAAGGGCACCCAAGCATCAGCAGCAGAGAGCTTTGAAACAGACGGCAACAAAATTTCTATGATAGTCTTCCCCTCCGGTAGAAGAGGTAAATTTGATGCTTCATTTTTGCTATCTTTTGGAATTAGCATTTCAAGTAAATAGAAATAAGTGAATATTTCTTGTTGACTTGGTCCTTTTCCCCTAATCATTGAGAGCCGA